AAATGAAGAATTTAATGTTTTTTCACACGTGTCGAAAAGATTACACGATATCATTGTCGTTTCGATTATCGCTTTTTACGCGATTTTCGACATACATCTTATACATTTTCGTATAAAATACATCTTCTCCAATCATCTTAACCTCATCTTTGTGGCCTACGATTACATATGGTATTCGAATAGACATGAGTTGAAGATTGGCCAAAATTAGGGAAGAGTTATTTTCTTGAGAAAGAACCGGCCCAACTCGATTCGTGATAGCTTGACTGGATTTTTGGTCCAAACCATCGAGAGAAGCAAATTTTTGTTTTTTCTTCAGACTTGTCTTCGTTTATCTGCTGCTTGACGAATGAACATGCGAGGAACGCCACATACCTATTACAATAACCGGTGTACACGGTTCCGTTCAAGGTTGCAAGAACGAAGCAAGCACAAGATCATGCTGAAAACTCGGCATGTTACTTCGTTACCCTTTAATTGACAATGGAACTAACGCTATAATCTAGTCGCTTTACTTGAATTTAATACATACATATCGTATATTATACAATTAACCTCAAAAGTATCTAACATCTTGTTATTTATTATTATCTTTAACTTGTAATATACTATTTGAATTTTTGATATATTTCTTTGATCTCTCTGAAATTTTAACATTTTTGAATAGAAATTCAATTAGAAATATTTTTTATTTAGTAAAATAATATAATATTAAAAATTCAATATTTTATAATTTAAAATTTTATTTTGTCTCGTATAATTCCAAAATTTTAAAATGAAAAAAATTGAATTTTTAAGGGTTAATTTCACTTTCTTAAAATGATATTTCACTAATAAAAAAAATTGCTCTATAGCAATCTCTATTATATATTGCTCTATATATATATAATTTACAATATTTTATATAAAACAAAATTTTTGTTGATTTTAATGACTCAATTTGAGTTGTAATTGTATATTCATCCATACAATTCTGCATAAATTGTATTTTCGATCTTTTGTGCTAATATATTTAAGAGTAAAACTCTCGAGAATTATTTTTCACTTTTGAGAAGTTCAATATTTCTCGTAAATAAACATTGAAAATGATTGTCCTATAATAAAATTACTTTTGAATAATAAAAACCATTATTGAAGAGTCATTCTCAACGCAGAATTCTTCAGCAAAGTAATATAGTTTTACTTTCAAATCTATTCACATTTTTCTTTGAACGTAAAATGAAAGTAAAATGTCAATAATGATTCATCAAAATCGCAAGTCAGAATCAAAAGAGCAATCTGAAATATACGGAAATATAATAAATTTCTTAATATTATGGAATTTTTTTATATTAAAATAATAACGAATTCTTCTGAAAATATTAATGAAAATTAAATATATAAATTCTACAAATTCAAGGAGCTTACAATAACAACCGTTAGACAGTGTATGCGAATCCATATTCGCGTAACGGTGCGCGGTAAAATCGAAAAAGGATAAAGTGTAGACCGGCTACTACATCGTTGAAGATAGTATAGCGTGGCTCATTGATTTCTCAGCAGACACGTTGAACGTCTTTTCTTCGAACTCTAATAATTGATCACAGACCAATGGCGAGAGAAGATCTCCTGCGAAAAAAAGATCCATAATCCTATTTGATTAATTGTAAGGGAAGTCACGTCCAGTCGACACGAATGTCCGGGGAAAATAATTTAAGTTACTATGCGCGGATAAATCCAGGATTTAAATCGTGACTGTGTTACGATACCATCTTTCCAGTCATGCTAGTTGTGCACGTTTCGGCTTATTTGAAAATTAATGCCACTTTTGCGTTTCTTCGCTTTCTTACCTTAGCCTTTCGCTTGATTATAAATACAGTATATTATAAATACAGCCTGAATCGGCTTTATTTTAATTTACAAATATCTATTGCATCTAATATTGTTTTTTTTCATTGTTATTGTAAAAAAAAAATGCGGGAGATTTTTATACGTTATTTATTGAATTTTTAAGAAATTCTAAATTTTAGATTCAAAATATAGGATAAAATCTTTTCAAAAATAATCATTGCCTTCATTGCAATTATTTTATCTTGTTTGTGATTCATTTCTAAAAAGTTATATGATTTTATATGATTTTATTTTTATAAAATATAAAAGTTTATGAATATAATATTAAAGAAAATTTCAAGATATCTATTTTACTGTATCGATGCAAATGTAGTATGGTGCGAAGATAGTTAGTTGCAGATAAAAATCTTACGGAAGAACGCTCAATTTTATGGAACCTGTTCCCACCGTAGCTCCCTCAAACGGGTTTAGTTAGGTGCATACATTTCACGCTTGTATATGTGCACGACCGTCTTTAAAGATCGTAAATTAACGTTCTGTTCTTACGACTGTGCGGGACATCCAAAAATTCGTAAGTATCTTAATTATATTCCCACACTAAATCCCGTGACGATAACTTCAATATGTGTTTATTTCTTAATTTCATCAACGATCAACGTGTTGAACTTTTCGATGCTATCTTCAATTTTTTTATTTCCATCAGTTTCTCTCTAATAATACTATTTCAAACTGTAACAATTGAATAGAAAAATATTTTAGAATTTTTTAGAAATTAATGTAATTTTCAGGCTCAATTGAAAAAATTGATTACAAATAAAAAAGATCGATCGATATTTAGTTTGGTTTAGGGTGACAAGATGAAAAGCTTGAAAAAGCAACTTCAATTTAAATGTAGCAAACTCTTTTACACAATCGAGACGAATCGACGAACCAAGTCGAGTTTACTCAAGCCACAATACAAGAAGAGAGGGTGAAAGAGAAAAATCATCCTTCTCTCCTTCTCCCTCGCAATCAGGGGTGAGTGACTCACGTTCCGCAGCTTCGACGCCGACAGTCGGGACGCTTACCCTCCAAATATTGATTCGCCAGCTCAGAGAAACGAGGCTGCTAACCCTCCACGCATCGGCGTATCTAAATTTTTCTAACACCAGAGCATTTCTTGGCTTCTTATTCACCCTGGGTCTTCATCTACTCACGTTACAACTTTCTCCTCTTATCAAAAACGCTTCGATACATTCGATTTTGTATAATTTATTTTTGCGCTTCTTCATCGCGTGCCTATTTGCGTATTTACGTACGTCAAAGCGCCAAGAAAGACCACTAGACGCCAATGTGTTAAATCGATCAAACGCATTCATACATTATTGCGCGTCGAATATACGTAGCTAGAATACGGGAAGCGCTTGGAAAAATAATAGAAAAACTACTACAGGCTAATTGTATGCGTAAATGTTAAGAATTTTCTACTAGATACATAGAAATACATAGATAGATCGCGCCTTTTCTATTCTTTCTTTTTCTCTCTTCCTTTCTCTCTGAGAATGAATTTCGAAATAACAGAAACGACGTGAATTGCATTCTTATTAGAAAGAATTTTTTTGAATTAAAAGAAAAAATTAAATGTAAAGAGTTAAAATAAGAATTGTATGTGATAAGATAAAAAACAATATTTTTATTTATCAAGACACGGAAAGGATTCTACGCAAAGGCAAAAAACTTATCTCGTTATTCTACCAATTAATAAAGCATTTTCCCGTGAGAATGTATCGATACAAAAAATGCCGGCACATATATCTTTTGCGTCTGTGCACAGATAAAAAATGAAATGTCGACGAACATATTCAAAAAGGTCACTCACCGTCCCGCCAAGGTCGTCGCAGTTTTATCACATCGCAAGTCACACCCAATCTTGTCGATTTTTAATATTTCTCGACACTTTTTCTTCGCAAGCACGCGAAATTCGATGAGAAATGGATCTACACATACATACGTTGTGAAACACTGTGTCCCGAGATCACGAAGAACGACGTGCACGCACTTCAGCTGCTCTCGGCAGCGTCGCGACTACTACCAAACTACCATACACGCACGAACCAATCTTATGTGCGAACGTAGTAGAGGGCGACTACCTGCGACCGTGTATCTCGACATTGAGCGACGATCAAACGACCAAGATCTCCGTACCGGCGTACTGATCCGCGGTTAAATGTTGTATATTCTTTTTTCCTTATTCTGATTCAAAATTGTCAAATTATTTTTGAAATCAGAACGAAAAAAAGTTTTTTTTACTGAAGATCAAATAAAAAATAATAAAAATAAATCGATTATCATTTCTGAACTTGATATTATTACTTAAAAATCTTTTCATTCGTGACAAGATGAAAAATTAAAATAAATTATAATATATTATAATATTGTATATAATATAAACTGAGATAGTAATTATTTATTATTAAATATAAATATTTTTAAAAAATAATTTTAAAATATAGTATGAAATTACTTTTAAATCTATTTATCTGTGATGATTTTAATATATTGAAGCTATGTTTAACGTATGTTTAACGTATATTTTAGCAAACATATTATACAATTGTATTCAACATACGTTTGAACTTTTATTAGTAAAGAATTGAAAATATAAAATGTATGGTATTATAAATACTTGTACGAAGCATGTACTTTCTAATTTCATAAAACTAAAGATATAGCTTAAAACATTATTATTAATATTACTAACCTCTTTCTGTTTCTATATTGATAATAATATGTTTTAAATAGTAAAAATAAAATTCATTATACGTAAAAAATTTAATTAAATTAAAATATATGAGCACACACCTTGCTATTGTCGATAGCGTTGATGACTGTTGCAACTCTCTCTTGCACGTGCGTGAAATACATCTACACTTAAATATTACATATATATGAATATCTTGATACAATCAATTTTTATAATTTATATAAATATTTTCTAAATTAGTAAGAGCTATCTATATTTAGTATTATTTTTGTAGATATTTTTCTTTGATATTTTATAATACATAATATAAATATTAATGAAATCAAATGTAATGACAAGATATTTTTGTTAATATTCGAATATGCATATTAAGTCGGCGCGTCATTCGTCAAAAACGCCATCTAGATGTTTTCAAAAGATATTGGTTTAAACATTCAATTGTAAACTCTTTAATTCTTTTTAATGCGATTTTATCTGAGGTAATATCGAAATATTTGATTTTTTTATAAAATTTATATAGTAATTGAAAAAGAGGTAAGAATATTATTATTATTTTTTAAATTTTATTTAAATCATTTTAATATTACTTGAAATTTTTCTATATTATTTTTAATGTAATATAAAATTTATAATATACACAAATACTTTTATATTTAGTTTTATATTTTATATTTTCTATTTATAAAAAGATAACATATGGAGATAACTAAAACTGAATTACAAGATTCTAAAATTAATCCTGAAGATGTTTGGAAAGAATTTAATTGTCCAAAATATGTTACCCATCTTTGTTTTAAAACTGAAAAATTACCAAAAGAAGTATTTGATTTTGATAGACAATTAAAATTAGACACACATCGAATTCTCCAAAAATTAGATGAACTTATATCTGATCCTGTAACAAGAGATACAAGTGTACTTCGTATATGTAGACTTTTATTTGATTTCCTTAATGAAGTAGGAGATGATGGTTATGTATCCTTTAATGAATATAATTACATTTGTTTATGTATACACTTACATATTTTTATTTTTATTAAAATATTATTTTCTTCATATATTTTTTCTTCACATAAAAATACGTCTTTTTATTTATCTACAAGATTTCCTTATAAAGTTTTAGAAAATTAAAGATTTGCCATTGATAATAAAAGTATTAAAATTTTTGGCTGAAAATGTTAAAACGGTTGAAGAATATAAGTTACATCTTAATAGAATGTTGGAACTTTGTAATATTCCACCTTTGTTAGAAAAATCATCTGATAGTTTAATTCTTGATGACATAATGGAACAGTATTTTACATTGTTAGGACATCTTCTTATAATCTTGCCAACTGAACACCAAATATTAAAGATTCATAGAATTCTTCATTCTTTGTTATTAAAAACAGAAATAAAAAATAGTGCTGCAGTAAAATTTGAACATTGCCGTAAAGCAATGGAAAAATCTAAATTGCCAATAATTATAGCTGAATTATTACGTACCTCTTATTTAAAGATGTATGAAAAAATTTTACAATTAGTTTTCTTATTATCATCTATCTCTTATGAAAGTTGTATGTACTAAAAAATTAATATTTTAAATGAAAAATTTAGTTTTTGAAACTTTGAATTGATTATATTTTCTATTTTATAATCTTAAACAAGGCTATAAAATGCTAGAAGCTAATATACTCAATACCATACTTATTAGAATGGATCTTCCTTTTGCAACTCAAATACATTGCAAACATCCACCTGATATGTTATTAAAAGGAAATGAATACAGTGATGAAACAATTCTTTTGATAATGAATATATTATGGAGCTTGATGAAATCTCTTACATTTTCTAATGAAAAATTAATTAATTTAAAAAAAAATTTAATACCAACTCATTGTGCTTTATGGTAATATTTTCAAATATATTAATTTATGTATATTATATTATATTATAAAATTTATGTTATATAGGGGTCTATGTTATACATTTAAACGACAAATATATTATAGTAAATATAGATATTTTAATACAAAAGTTAGAAATGAAATTGCTATGATTATTCTTATGATTTCAATTAATTTACCATCTTGGAATCTTGTTGGTAGTGGTATAGCTGATATTATTATTGAAATATTAATTGGAATTGAAACTAATTCTGTTAGAATATTTTCAGAAATAATAACATTTGGCACTAGTATTGAAGATTTATATCTTGAAAAAATTATATTATTAATTATTATAAATTTAGCAGAAGTTAATGCTTGCGTAATTATATTTTTAATATGTTTTATGTACATAAAAAATTATAAGAAATATTTTAATATTTTATTATAATATTTAATGTAAAACAATAGTTAATAGAAAAAGAAAAACTAATGCAAATTATACTTCAAATTATTAATCCAAATATTAAAAAAAAAAAAATCAAATGGAATCCATCTCAATTTTGGGATATATGGATATATGCTATAAATGCTTTATCTATATTAGTACCAAAAATGTCAAAACAATTTGTGGATTATAATGGTGGTATTAGGTAAATAAAATAGAAACATTTATGTTTTATATAATATAAAATTTAAATATTTTATAGATTGTGCATGATACTAGAATGGTGTTTAGACATAAAATTTGATATTAAAATAGTAATGATTACTATAAAAACAATTTGTATAATTATTCTGAACAATGATAAATATATATTAGAATATTTTCGACAATGTGGATATGTATTCTTATTAATTAGTTAGTTTTTTGCTTATATATTATATTTTATGCTTATTATTAAATTTTATCATTTTTCAATTACATATTAATTTGTTATGTATTATATATATAGAACTTATTCAATATATTTTGAAATTTGACAAAATTAGAATGATAGAACAAAGAATTTTAACATTGACACTATTATCAATTGAAAAACTTATAAAAAAACAGATATTCTATCAAAAAATTTATGGAGAGTACAGTGTTACATTAAGTATGGAATTGTTATTTCGTTGCTTATATCAAAAAGATCAAGAATTTAAACTAGATCAACGGTAATATGTATTTATAACAGTAACATTGAAAAGTTCAAGTATTATTACATAAAAAATTTTATTAGTCTTTTGCTAGCAATAGGTTCATACATCTGGGAGTGTATAGTATGGTGTCCTGAAAATCTTGAAAAATTTATTGATTATGGAGGAATATACATTATCCTTGATATTATAGAAATTGTTCCATATTGTTCTCATTGTTTATTTCTTGCTCTTTTTACTGACATTTGTGATAATTTTTTTTGTGGACCATTTATATGTACATGGAGAGGTATTAATAAAGAAAAAGGATTAATGTCTTTGCTAGCAAAAATATGGAGAGAAGAAGAAATAAGAATTAAAATTAAAAAAAATGTGAATGGTACTATCAAAGGCAAATAAGATAATTTTAATTTATAATACAACATGCTTTTCTATTTAGATGAGGAATTGATTCACATAAATCAAAAACAATTTGATGCTTATTTCACAAAATTAATTAAAGATAGTAGTCCAGCAATAATTGATATGATTGGTTCAGTTAGATCAAAAATATATAGTATTTACAAGATAATAGAAAGAGATAATGAACGATATTTAATGGCCAAGGAGCATTATAAAATATTAAATAATAATCTTTCATTAGAAGATAAAGTAAGTTATACAAATATTTATTTTTATATTATGCAACTTATATTTAAAATTTATGATTTAATATTTTTACAGATTACAATGTCTACCATAAATATGTATTTTGCATTGAAATTAGGTCAAGTATGGGTAGAGATTGCTAAATTTTTTGAACAAAGTGGTATTACTCCTCTTGGTATGGATGGTCAAGCAATTTTTTTGATAACTCAACGTTATTATATGTGGACTGAAATGACAAAAGAAAGACAAATGAGAATATTACAGTCTATAGACAAACAAAAAGATATGGAAGAGAAAGATGAATATGCAAGAATTCGCAATTCTAAGCTAATTATAGCATTAAATGCATTGGATGAATTAGATTATATTTATAGAACAACAAAGAGATCAAATATGTTGAAGAAAAAACATGAACAAATAAAACAAGTTAATTTAGCTTTAAAATTTCCAGAAGATTCAGATGATGCACATTGTCATAGAACATTCCAAGATAAAATCATGGTTACGGTAAACATGATATATAATTTATTTAATTTTTATTTTTTTATTTTTCAAAAAAATATGTTTTTACATTTAAATTTTATTTTTTGTAACTCTTCATATAGGATATATTTAATCAGCATCAAATAATAAGCAGTGGTTTGAAATTAAATACAAATTTAAGTCAAATGAAATTGAAACTTATTCCTATTTCTCCTTATGATAGTTATATTTCTGATAAAACATATTCTGAATTTTCTTCTTCATCAAGTACCTATTTTTCTAATATAAAAAAATTTAAAGAAGATGAATAATTATTATGAAAATGATAAAAAGAATAAATTTTATTTTAATAAAAAATGCATCTTTAGAAGATACAGAATTCTTCATTGCCGATGTGTTTATAATAATTTATATTAAATATTTTTTCAAAACATTTAATATAATAGAGAATTAATTGATTAAATTATATATTACCGAATCATTTTTCTTTCAACTTTTATATATAAATTATAATTTTAATACTAGAAATTCGTGAAATTAAAACTTATAAATAAATAATGTAGTTTTTTATCTTTGTATCTACTCAATATTTTGTAATCAATGCTTTGCATGCTCTAAATGAACATTAGATTATGGTTACAATAATAAATATTTTTTTGTATATTATTATTATTATTATTATTATTATTATTATTATTATTATTATTATTATTATTATTGTTCTTTAAATTATGTTTGAATATGAATATTCCACTTAAATCATGTATATAGTCATTTTTATTTGTATTGTGCCGTTATCAAATGTTGGTAAAAATGGTAACACAATTGGAAAATGTAAATGATATTATTATGATTTATTAAATATTAATATAACGCGCTTTTCTATTTAGAATAGAATTATAATGGTAAATTATCTATAAAATAAGTGTTGTAACTTTATTTTTTTATAAGTTTTAATCTTATGAATTTCTAGAAGTTAAAATTATGATTTTTATAATTTATATATCAAATATCATCAAATAACAAAAAAGATAAAAAAAATGATCTGAAATAAAATTCAATCAATTTTTTATTTTATTGAATCGACATAAAAAAATTTATTTTATTTATATATTCGTTTTTTCTATTGCCCAAATTAAATATTTTTTTCATTAGTTTTATAACAAATCATTATTTAATTATTATTTTAATAAATCGATAAAAAAATAGAGTTTTCTCAGTTATATTATCACTTGAAATATGGAGAAAAATATTGAAATATTTAATTTGAGAATTAGCGATGCTATGATTGGTTCTACCATTATCTGGATTCTAGATTCTTTATTATCTAGATAAATGTAACGGAAACATTGGCAGGAGAGCGAATGAAGAATGCAGCGGTAAGCCAGTAAGAGCCAACATGCCGTTCCCGCCGCAAGCAATTGTCGTCGTTATTTTCGCCTATCCAATACCGGTTTAAAGAAGTATCGGTTGCCTGTCTCGCCTTCTCGCATACAGTTCACGTTTGTTCGTGAAAGGAACACAAATTATCGTACAAATTCTGTGTTTACGTTAAAATAATCGTGCCACACAAAATTGTTTTTGATTAGGGTAGGTTTCATATTTAAGTCTCATTTGTGAAAATCGTAGTGGATTTTTATCTAAGACGAATCGTAAGCCGTATTGTCAATTGTAATTTCTCGAACGTTTAAATATTTTTCTTTTCTTAGCGTTCGCCGTTTTATTTATCGCTATCTTTGTCTATCATTTTTCCTTTCATCTCTGTCATTTTCCATATCCCCTCTTTTTGTTCATCCCTTCGTCATCGTTGGTCGCGAAAGGCAGACACGGATTTATACGAAGCGCACGGATTTATATTCGTAGCGCAAGAGAATTTAGCTGCTTCGTAAATATGGCGTGTGAACCGTGGTGCTTTAACCGTGGCTGTGACGAAGCTCCTCAACGATGGCTGTACATCCTGTTGCTGACTTTCTACGTACTCGGGCATCTTGGTTCAAGTTTTGCGGACAACTTAAGTGAGTGTTAAGTTTTTTTAACTTGTTGCATCTATTCTTTCTCTTTCTTAGCTCACTCTTAAGAAAGAATGTTTTTTGTAGATATGCATAATTAAAATATATCAATTTTGTAGCTGAGAAAGATGCTTAGACTAAAATCAGATAAGAGAAAAAATCGAAAAAAAAGAAAAAAATTTTTTCGTTGAAGATACTAGAAAACAAACATATATTTCTTTTTACGTGTACTACTACGCAATTTCACTAAACATGACTGTTCCTTTTAAAGAAACTTTCCTCATTTTCATTCTTTCTATTATTTAATTTTAATAATTAATCAAATTTTAATCCATTGAAAATCTAACAATTTTCAAATTAAAAATTTTTATTATTATTAAAAAATAATTTTATTTAATTTTTTTATTTAATTTTTTATTTAATTTTTTTTAATTTTTAATGTTTATTTTTAAATTGATTTCTCTTTTTTTTTTATTTAGAACTATTTTATTTTGTCGTGTTTGTATATTTTATAATAAATACTATCCCTATTAAATGAGATTTATATATGTCATTAATGAGATTACATAATTATACAATATCGAAATATAAAAGAAAATAATATTAATTTAAATATTTTCTCGTACCAATAGAAGCATGTTTAAAAACAATATGAAACAATACAATACAATATTTGGAATGTTTATTTTTTTCTGCTTATATTATTTAGAATCATTTCATCGACTCTGATAATAATTTTTTTATTAATCTTTCTTGATATGTATATGCACGTTCAAGAAATATTTGGAATTTGTCGTAAAATATTGAATGTAATAACAATATAAATATGTATACTTTATGAATATACATTATGTGCAAATTAAAATCGCATTTATAAATTGCAATAATATAATAATAATTAAGAAATATAATCATTTACTGTTTGATTAAATGATTTATCGTAGAAGAAAAGATAAGTTTTCTAGGCCTAGGTTATGTCGAAGAGGAATATAATCATTTATTGTTTTATTAAATGATATATCGTAGAGGAAAAGATAAGTTTTCTAGGTCCAGATTATAAAGAATAAAAAGAAAGAAAAAAAAAACATATGCAATATACAATTTTCTATGTTCGTATTGAATGATAATTGAAATAATTTTGAAATGACAGATTGAAAGGTTATCAAAGTTAGTTATATTTTTAAATTTTACCGGCATAATTGATTTTGCGAATAATTTTATATTGAATGTCGGCTGTTTGTGCAAATTTAATCTATTAATTTTTCTGTATTTTTCATTTTATTTATTATTATTATGTTAGAGCAAATTATCGAATTATATTTTATTTTTTTTTTTTTTTGCATTTAATTTTCGATCCATGTCACAATGTATTTCACAACACATAGTTTTTTAATGAAATCATGTTAAAAAATTATATAAAAAGTGATTTATGACAGTGATAACTATATAGGTGGCCGATCCTGGGTCATTTATGATGTGGCATGATATATTTTAAAAGTTTCTCTATCAAAATTATATATGTTAAAAAAAATTACACAAAAAATGATTCTTGTAATTTAAAAAAAAATAAAAAAATTTTTTAAAAATAATTATTCTCTAATAATATTCTCTAATATTTTCAAGATTGCTCAAGAATTAATCATCTTTAATAAACTTCCATATTTTTTTTCTTTTATAATGGAGTGAGTTTTCATTGAAATTTTACGAATCATATTTTATAGTTAGTATATTGTAGATATATAATGAACGCAATAATTTTTTATTTTTTTTTTTATTTTTATGAGAAGGCATTTTGTTCCTGTTTTTATACATTGTTTATATTATTCAGCCGCAATATATTACATTCCAATAATTTTGTTAAATCATGAAAATAGTATATATAATATGTTGTAATACGAAAGTCATTAAAATCAATATTTCTTACTTTTTTTAATAATTTCAAGCAAATTGTTTTATCTTATGTGTGCAATTATAATTAGATAGTCAAGACATCATCTTTTCTTTATTTCTTTTCCTTTATTTCTTTCCTATATTATAATAATTTTTTCATGATATTCTTTTATATAATATATAATTCTGTCTGTAATAAACAAATAGTATTAACAAATATTAATCATCTAATTATTTCTTCGTCTTATCAAATATCATATTAAATTGTTTATTAGCCATTAAATCTTGTTTACATCTTGTTAATATTAAATTTAGTGCAAATTACAATTACAATCTATTCGAAAAAATCAATAAATTATTGTATAATCAACATTATTTACATTTCTTATTCGAGCAATAAGATACTATGTATTCTTAACAGTAAAAGTCAATGAAAAAACTAAATTTCTAATATATGTAACATTGTAGAATAAATGTTTATACAAGTCTTTCAACTTAAAGATAAATATCAACAAAATTATATAAATTATATATATATAAATATAATTATATATATATAAATATAATATAAATTATATATTATATATATAATTATATAAATTATATATATTATAAATATCAACAAAATTATATAAGTAAAAATTTAATTCTTTTGCTTAAACAGCAAAAGTATTTACATAGATTAAAAATTTGAAATCACTAACATATTTCATGAATTCAAGAATTAAATAAAAAATTAAATTTATAACCTCAAAATCTCTTTTGGTTTTTTTTCTTATTTTTCGATGTAGCTATTAAATAAAATATTGTTGATATTTATGGCATTGATCATTAATTAATAATGAAATTATATATTAATAAAATAACAAAAAAAGTAAATCAATTTCAAAATAATCAATTGCAAAAATGATTTTAAATTTTTGATTGATAATATATAATGTATATGAGATAATTAAAAATCATGAGGAATCTATTTCGTAAAGAGAAATTATATATTATGATTTACATGTTTGTGATATATCAAGATAATAATAGTAACTTGATTTATTAATATTATTTTTTTATGATTTGATTCTTGAAAATTCTCGAAACTCTTGTCAAAATAAAAAGATTAGTTAGCATATACACAAATGACGGTAGTATAGTTTGTTTCAAGTGGTTTCACAGCGACAATCAATGACAGGGTCGTTATACGGTCCTCGATTGGAACGAAGTAGTGGAGAAGGCGTGACGAGTGAATACTCCCATGAAACAAGTCAAAATTATCAACACAAAGAACTGCAAAATGTGAACAATCCTCTTAGTGAAGATAGAAAAGCAAGATTGCACTTTCCAAGCAATCCACTCTTCTCTCGATCAGGCAGCGCACGCACGCTCTTTTCAAGGCTATAGGGAACAATTAAGCGACAGTG